AGGCCGGGGTAGGGGTAGGCCGGGATAGGCCAGGGTAGGGGTATGCCCGGTTAGTTTGGGATAGGGGCAGGCCAGGATAGGCCGGGATAGGGTTGGGTCGCGATCGGCTTGGGTAGGCTGGGGTAGGGGTACACTGGCGTAGGCCGGGGTAGGGGTAGGCCGTGAAGGGCCAGGGTAGGGGAAGGCTGGGATAGGCCAGGGAAGAATGGGATAAGGGAAGGCCAGGATAGTGGTAGGCCAGTGTAGATAGGGGTAGGCTGAGATAGGTGTAGGCCGGGATAGGGGTAGGCTGGTGTAGACCAGTGTAGGAGCAGTCCGGGATAGGCCGGGGTAGGGATAGGCCCAGGTAGGGGTAGGACGGGGTAGGGGTAGGACGGAGTAGGGGTAGGCCAGGGTAGGCCGGGGTAGTCTTCCATAGGGGTAGGCCTAGATAGGCCAGGATACGGGTAGGCCAGGATAAGGGTAGGCCGGTGTAGGCCGGGATAGGTGTAGGCTGGGATAAGCCAGTGTAGGGGCAGTCTGGGATAGGCCGGGGTAGGGGTAGGCCTGCATAGGGATAGGCCGAGGTAGGTTGGGATAGAGTTAGGTGGGGTTAGGCTGGGGTAGGGATAGGCTGGGTTGGGCCAGGGTAGGGGTAGGCTGAGATAGGCCGGGGTAGGGTAAGTCCGGGATAGGCCAGGGTAGGTCGGGATAGGGGTAGGCCGGGATGGTGCTAGGCCGGTGTAGATAGGGGAAGGCTGGGATAGGGGTAGGCAGCAATAGGGGTACGCCGGGGTATGGTTAGGCTGGGGTAGGAATTAGCTGGGATAGGGGTAGGCTTGGAAAGGGGTAGGCTGGTGTAGACCAGTATAGGTTTCGGCCAGGGTAGGCCGGGATAGGGGTCGGCCAGCGTATGCTGTGGTAGGCCTGGATAAAGGTAGGCTTGGATAGTTGTTGGCCAGCATAGGCCAGGGTAGGGGTAGGACAGCATAGGCTGGGGTAGGCCGGTACAGGGGTAGGCCGGGGTCAGCCAGGATAGGTGTAGGCTGGGATAGGCTGGGGTAGGACGGGATACGGGTAGGCACTGATAGAGGAAGGTTGGGGCAGGGATAGGCTGGGGTATGCCAGAATAGGGGTAGGCCGATGTAGGCCGGGTTAGGGGCAGTCCGGGATGGGCTGGGGTTGGGATAGGCCGGGATAGGGATAGGCCCGGGAAGGGGTAGGCCAGGATATGGGTAGGCCGAGGTATGCAGGGGTAGGCCTGCGTAGGGGTAGGCTGAGGTAGGCCGGGATAGAGGTAGGTGGGCTTAGGCCGTGGTAGGGGTAGGCCAGGATGGGCCAGGGTAGGGGAAGGCTGGGATAGGCTGTGGTAAGACAGGATATGGGTAGGCACTGATAAGGGTAGGCCGGGGCAGGGATAGGCCAGCGTATGCCGGGATAGGGTTAGACCGAGTTGGCTGGGATAGGGGTAGGCCGGGTAGGCCGTGATAGGGGTAGGCCAAGGTGGGTGTAGGTGGGGGTAGGCTGGGTAAGGGTTAGGACGGGGTAGACCTGGGTAGGAGTAGGCTGGGTTAGGCAGGGGTAGGCCGGGGTTAGTGTAGGCTGGGATAGGTGTAGGCCGGTGTAGGCCAGGGTAGGGGCAGTCCGGGATGGGCCGGGGTAGGGATAGGCTGGGATAGGGATAGGCCCGGGAAGGGGTAGGCCAGGATATGGGTAAGCCGAGGTATGCAGGGGTAGTCCTGCATAGGGGTAGGCCGAGGTAGGCTGGGATAGAGGTAGGCGGGCTTAGGCCGGGGTAGGGGTAGGCCGGGATGGGCCAGGGTAGGGGAAGGCTGGGGTAGGACGGGATACGGGTAGGCACTGATAAGGGTAGGCCGGGGCAGGGATAGGCCGGGGTATGCTGGGATAGGGTTAGACCGAGTTGGCTGGGAAAGGGGTAGGCCGGGTAGGCCGTGATAGGGGTAGGCCAGGGTGGGTGTAGGTGGGGGTAGGCTGGGTAAGGGTTAGGACAGGGTAGACCTGAGTAGGGGTCGGCCGGGGTAGGCAGGGGTAGGCCGGGGTTAGTGTAGGCCGGGTTAGGGGTTGGCTGGGATAGGGATAGGCCAGGATAGGGGGAGGCTGGGGAAAGCCAGAATAGGGGTAGGACTGGGTAGGCCAGGATGTGGGTTGGCTGGGGTTGCCTGTGATAGGGGTAGGACAGGATAGGCCAGGTAAGTTCGAGATAGGGGTTGGCCGGGATAGGGGTAGACCGGGGTAGGGATAGGCTGGTGTAGGCCAGGGTAGACCTGGATAGGGGTAGGCTGGGATAGGGGTAGGCCAGGATAGGGTTAGGCTGGGATAGGGGTAGGCTGCGGTATTGTTTGGCCGGGGTAGGCCAGGGTACGCAGGGTTAGGCAGGGGTAGGTGTAGGCCGGTATAGGGTTATGCCATTGCAGGCCGGGATAGGGGTAGGCCAGTATAGGCTGGGTTAGGGGCAGTAAGGGATGGGCCGGGGTAGGACAGGGTAGGCTGGGATTGGGATAGGCCCGGGTAAGGGTAGGCTGGGATATGGGTAGGCCGAGGTATGCCGGGCTCGGCCTGCATAGGGGTAGGCCGAGGTAGGTCATGATGGAGGTAGGCGGGGTTAGGCCAGGGTAGGGATAGGCCGGGATGGGCCAGGGTAGGGGAAGGCTGGGATAGGCCAGGGTAGGGGAAGGCCGGGGTAGGCCGGGATAAGGGTAGGCCGGGATGGTGCTAGGCCAGTTTAGGTAGGCGTGGGCAAAGATAGGGGTAGGCCGGGGTAGGCCGGGGTAGGGATAGGCTGGTAAGCGGTTAGGCTGCAATAGGGGTAGGCAGCAATAGGGGTACACTGGGGTAAGGTTAGGCTGGGGTAAGCTGGGAAATGCGGGTAGGCCCGGTAGGCCGGGATAGGGGTAGGCCGGGGCAGGGGAAGGCTGGGGTAGTCCTGGGTACGGGTAGACCAGGGTAGGGGTAGGCCGGGATAGGGATAGGTCCGGGTAGGGGTAGGCCGGGATATGGGTAGGCCAATGTAGGGGTAGGCCGTGTTAGGCCAGAATAGGGGTAGGCAGGGATAGAGGTTAAGCCGGGATAGGCCGGGATCGGGGTTGACCTGGGTTGGCCGGGATTGGGGTAGGCCGAGCTAGGCCAGGGTAAGGGTACGATGGGCTAGGGGTACGCCGGGCTAGGCTGATGTAGGCTTCCATAGGAGTAGGCCTAAGAAGGCTGGGATAGGGTTAGGCCAAGATAGGCGTAGGCCATGATAGGCCAGGGTAGGGACAGTCCGGGATAGGCTGGGTTATGGATAGGCCGGGGTAGGGGTAGGCCGGGGTAGGAATAGGCTGGGATAGGGGTAGGCTGGGATACGGGTAGGCCGCGGTAGGCCAGGATAGGGTTCAGCAAAGGTAGGCCGGGATAGGGGTAGGCCAGGGTATGCTGTGGTAGGCCTGGATAAGAAAAGGCTAGGAAAGTTGATGGCTGGTGTAAGCCAGGGTAGGGGTAGGTTGGGTTTGGGATAGGCCGGGGTAGGCCAGGGTAGGCTGGGATAGGGGTAGAACAGGATAGGGATAGGCCAGGATAGATGTAGGCTGCGGTTGTTTTTGGCTGGGGTAAGCTGGGGTAGGCCAGGAAAGGTGTAGGCCAGGGAAGGTGTAGGCCGGGATAGGGGTAGGCCGGGATAGGGGTAGGCCAGGGAAGGTGTAGGCCGGGACAGGGGTAGGCCAGGGTAGGCCAGGATAGGGGTAGGCCGAGGTAGGCCGGGGTTGGCCTGCGTAGGGGTAGGCCGGGGTAGTCCATGGTAGAGGTAGGCCGGGGTAGGATGGGGTAGGGGTAGGCCAGTATAGAGGTAGGCCGGGATAGTAATAGGCCAGTGTAAGTAGGAGTAGGACGGGATAGGGGTAGGCTGTGATAGTGGTAGGCCGGTGAAGGTAGCGGTAGGCCAGAAAACGGGTAGGCCAGGATAGTCTGGGTTAGGGGTAGGCCGGGTTAGAGGTAGGCCAGCATAGGGGTAGGCCAGGGTAGGGGTAGGCTGGTATAGGGGTAGGCCGGGGTAAGCCGGGGTAGGGGTGGGCTGGATTAGGGATAGTCTGGGGTAAGCTGGGATTCGGGTGGGTCGTGGTAGGTGTAGGAGGGGGTCCCCCAGGGTAGGGGTAGGCCGGGGTAGGCCGAGGAGGGGTAGACCGGGGTAGGCCGGGGCTGGCCGGGGTAGGCCGGGATAGGGGTAGGCCGGGATAGGGGTAGGCAGGGATAGGCCAGAATAAGGGTAGGCAGGGATTGGGGTAGGCCGCGGTAGGCCAGGATAGGGGTACGCTGGGGTAGGGGTAGGCCGGGGTAGGTCGGGGTAAGCCTGCATAGGGGTATTCTGGGGTAGGGGTGGGCCGGGGTAGGTGTAGGTGGGGGTAGGCTGGGGTAGTGGTAGTCCATGTTAGGCCAGGGTAGTGGTAGGCGGGGGTAGGCCAGGGTAGGCCGGGGTAAGGGTAGGCTGGTTTAGGGGTAGGCCGGGGTAGGGATCGGCTGGGATAGGGGTAAGCCGGGATAGGGTTAGGATCGTGTTAGGCCGGGTAGGGGTAGGCCGGGTTAGCTGGTGTAGGGGTAGGCCGGGGTACACTGTTGTAGGGGTAGGGCAGGGTAGGCCGGGGTTGGGGTAGGCTAGGTTAGTGCGGGATAGGTGTAGGCTGGGATAGGCCGAGATAGGGTTGGGTCAGGATAGGCCCAGGTAGGCCAGGATAGGGGTAGGCCGGAGTAGGCTGGGGTACACTGGTTTAGGGGCAGGCCAGGGTAGGCCAGTGTAGTGGTAGGCCGGGTTAGGCTGGGGTAGGGGTAGGCAGGGATAGGGATAGGGGTTTTCCGGGGTAGGCTGGGGTACGCTGGGATACAGGTAGGCCGGGATGGGCCAGTGTAGGGGATGGCCCGGAAAGACCGGGGTAGGATGGGATAGGGGTAGGCCGTGATAGGGATAAGCTGGGATAGTGGTAGGCCAGTGTAGGTAGGGGTAGGCCAGGAT